TAAGTTTGAAAATTATATAAAATCTTAAGACATTTTTGGGCATCAGATAGCTTTTACCTATAAAAATAGTAGCACGTTCAAATCATTTGTTGGAGGTGTCGTCACTATAATTTTCAGAATAGCAGTACTTATCTACCTAATAACTGAATTGATAAATGTGATTTAGAAGAAAAGTACAATATCAAATTCCACGTATATTAGAAACATTGCAGAAGATTTTACTGTATACGAGATAAATAATCAAAAGTTTGATCTAGCTTTCTAAGTTCAGTTAGATGGAAGTTATGCAGCCTAGGATCTAAGCAAGTATCTAGAAATTAGTTTTACAGAGACAGACTTTGAATGGGCATCTGATGGAAAATCATATAAATTAAATAACTGAAAAATTCCTCTTATTAGCTGCACTCAAGGTAGATTTAACAATGAAACTATTTAGACAGATAATATTTAGCTAACATAGAGCTATTTATGCCCAAAAATTATTGATTTTAAGTTAAGAGGTTCCTTTTTATCTAAAAAATCAACACATGTTATACTTGGATTCAAAAAATGCCTATAAAAGAATATGGATGCACAAAATAAGAATATAACATGCGCTACAGATGCTGAAATTGACTCTGTATTTGATAGATTATCAGTCAATGTTGCATTAATGAATCAATTTGTTGATGTTAATGATAACTCAGCAAATCCAATTAAAACTTTGATTAAAACATAGTACATGACTAGTAATTCAATGCTTTCAAGCAACTAAATAATCAAGATAAGTTAGAATTACGTCATTTTAAGTGATAGCTAATTTTCAAGTTAGCTCGATCAATAAAATCTCACCTACTATAGTACACGCTTAGATGCTTTTTTTACAGCATCATAGCTTAACAGTGAAGCAAATATGAGTTTATATCTGGCACTTGATGAGAATGTTTTTACTTCTACCAGAGTTGTATATACAGTTGCAGATGCTCTTTCAACTACAGGAGGATTCCTAGGAATAATCTCAATAATTCTAAACTACCTTTTATGCTGGCTTTAAGACATTATCTTTTATCAATAAATTATTTATGATATGTTCTATGTTGAAAAGTAAAATGATATGCCCAGAGTATTAATTGAAAATAGTCAATACAACTTGAAACTCAATCCAAGCATAGGATTAAGGGAAAATTAAGATTCCAGCAATAGAAATCAGCTTAAGATCAAAGATAATTGCGATCAATATTAGACTATTCTAAATTCTATTAAGCAAAGAGTTAAATTCAAGTTCACATTAGGAGATTTAATTAGAGCTTTATGCTTATGTATAAGAACTGCTAGTTCTAAGAAAATTCAGCTTAGGAGGAAACTATTTCAGATTGCTAGGTAAAAGATTGATAAACGATTTGAAATAGAAAGAATATTTGAGACTATGAAGACTACTAGATTACTAAATAAAATTATTCTATCAAAGTATTAAAGAATGCTAACTCCGTATTTCAGATCAAGTTTAGTAAGAATTAAAGTCGATTTGAGTGACATTAAAAATGCAGACTAAAAGTAGAATCATTTGCAATAAAAAGAAGAGGTATCTGATTGGCAATCTATGTCTAAATTACAAAGGAGACAGTTGAAGTAATACCTGGCTTAAGCAATGATAGAATCTAAAAATTCCAAAATAGATTTAAGGTTAATCAAGAATATTGAGATTAATCATTAAAAGAATCATCTATCATCTTAGGGAAAATTGATTCATGAAGCTATTTTGAAGGCTCTCAATAAAAATTTAAAACAAAACAGCATTGCCATTGAAAATAAGAGCATTATTAATTAGGACTTTATATAGAGTAACAATATTTAAAATAAAACTAAAATTTATGATTTAATGGGGCAATTCAATGAAGAATTAGCCTTAAATTCTATGACAAAAATTAATGAAATAAGAAATTCATCATAGTATTCAATTTAAAATGAAGAAGATTTATTTGTAGAAAGGATTATTAATGAAGAAATTAAAAATAACGTTAGTTAAAATATATGATACGATTAATAGTTAATTTCTCTAATAGCTAAAAATAATTGATTTTTCTATATTTAGTAATTATTTCATTATCAATAATCATTAATTATATCATGGGGTTTTGGGGTTTTGGGGTTTTGGGG